AAGCAATCTCGCGATATTCGAATGTTAAATTTGAAGCGGGTTCCCAAAGGTGTAAAGGGTACCGCAATGGATTTTCACGCTGGCGACCCGGATTCGATCCCCCGTGTGTCCGATTTTTAAAATCACTTTTTCAGTTTGATTTTACGTTGTTTTTTTCTGAATCGGACGGAAGACCTCTCGTTGCTCGCAACGAGTTTCGTTTCTAGTTTTATTTAAATTCATAATTTATTCTTTTTTAAAATTTCAGTTCATCATCTGTTGTATGTGATATTTTTCAAACATGCAAAATATATAGTTGCTAAATAAAATTCAAGATGATCGAAATGTTTTTTTTTTTCATTAAACTTCAGTTTCTTCTCAGTTTATGGTCAGCTCAGTGCCGTACAAATGTATTTCAATTTCCAATTTTGTTTTATGTGTGAAAATTTAATAATTTATGTTTAATAGAATATATTTTCTAAATTTGATATTGGTTGACAGATTGACAGTAATAAATATTGGAGTGAGGTCACACATGTTCCTAAGATCTTATAAAACATGCATGAGAAATTCAGAATTCACAGTATTTACAGTATTTAAAACTCATTCTTGAGTAAAGCAAGTTTGTATTTGACCTTGGCATTGGATCTTGAATCTTAATCAGTGTCTGATTGAAAAATATTAAAATGCTCCACACATGTTCCTTAGATCTTATAAACATGCATAAGAATTTACAGTATGTATAACACATTCTTGAGTAAACCTTTTATTTGACCTTGACATTTGATCTTAAAATTATCAGTGTTTAAATGAGGAAAAATACTTTATCAAGTTCACAATATTTTTATTCAAGGTGATTCCTCAACAATGTATAACAATTGAATATTCCATTACCATGAGACAAAGTCATTAAAAGTATCCATGTACAGCATTTATGAATTTTAATTCAAAGATCACAGATACATGTACATGAACTTTGTTTAAATTTAAGTTTATCAATGTTTTTATTACCATAGTATAATGTTTTACATGCATTTAATTTGACTTTCTTATCCGATGCTCAAATTGAAATTCAAATGTCAGAGTTATTGTCAGAGAGATGGTCATAAACTGAACAGTTCCACAAATGTCAACAATGCACAGAAAACATACACTGATCTCCTTAATAAAAGCACCATGGTTTCAGTCTTAGGAATCTTTGACACTGGTTTGAACATCTTTCATCATTTACTCTAACAGCATATGGCATGAACTGCATTCTGCACAGCTGCAAATCTGCAGGGTTTCCTGAAAAAAAAAATCACATAATTATAGGCATGTAGATTGTAAATTTTGTCATACACATTTCATACACATTTAAAATGTTTTTGATTGTGATTATCTTTGACATTTCATGTACAATTTGCTTTAATTTCACCTTTTTCTCTAAAAAAAAATAATGCGTTTAGAAATCATGAAAAATAAAATCTTATACTGCAACCTCAGTCATATTAAATTAAGAAAAAAAATCTTTTTTAAGATAATTTACTTGTACATTATAATTCATTTTATCTTGTCAACTTGCTAACAAGTATGAATACATTTGTTTTAGTGACTTTTCTCTATTTTCTCTTTGTATTATCTATTTAATGTTTTTTCTTGGTTTTCTTTTTTTTTTTTTTGGTCTTGAAATTTGAATATGTAAAAGAAGAAGAAAATATCTATGTAACAACAACATGATGACCTGAAATATTCAACATTTCTTTCAGTTTAACTCTCAAGATTTTTGAAAGAAGAAAATCACTTGTTCCGAGAAACTGCAGACATGTCACCTCGAAGCAGATAATGATGTTTATATATTTGAATGACCATACATGATAAAAATAAAATCATACATACTTTTTAGATTAAAATCCTTTATACTGTGATGATGCATGATGACGCATGAGTGCAGGCAAATCCATCACTGTAATGATGAATATTAAAAGATTAACTTATGCTTCATAACTCACAATACATCATACATACATGTACAATATGTAAGTGCACTGCTGAGTGAGCTTATTAAACATTTCAGCAGTAGCATTAGAAATGGTCGTGATGATTCTACATTAATTTATTATAAGTTACACTGAAATGATAGAATTAAGGAAATAGTAAGATTAATAAACTGATTAAGGCATAATACATATGATTGTTTTAGTCTCAGAGCTCATTGATAGCTTATTGAATCATATGACAGAGTAACGGGGGTATTTGTAAATATTTTATCCCCCCTTCTGTCTACACTACTTCTTGTTTCCGCACCTAATTTTTGTTTATATTAAATAGAATAAAATGTTTATATTTTAAGACATAAGAACATTGTTTTGAGGGATAAATAAGTATAAAAATGCAAACATGTACAGTGTACAGTGTGTAGTATACTTACATGAACTCGCACATCATCTATTCAAGTCCGCTGTTGACGGTTCCTGTAGAATTATCCAAACAAACAGAGCATATTTAACAGAAAACATGTTAGAACACTTTTACACAAGTAAGAATCGGCTAAATCATCCAAACAAGCTGAAGAAATACGGTCTTTCGATGTCTGGACTCTTCGTTGTTTACATTCCCAAATTCTTCCGGTGATCGTTCACGGTTAGATCGTACGCCGTGTTACTCGAAGTTTATAATGTAAATCTGTGTTTTGAGAAAATAATGTTTTATTTTCTATTGAAATTTTATAAATATTTCTTTTGTAAACATTTTATATCGTATTTCGTTTTTGTAATTTATTCTGAAATATGAATGAACCTTTGCTCGAATCTGATTGGCTGTAGGATACAGGATAGGATAGGATAGGATAGGATTGGATTAACTTCTATATGTTTCTATCGTGAATCCTCAATCCTGAATCCTATCCGATCCCATCCCATGTCAACTTGTGGGATAGCAGCACTGTACCGGTTAACCGGTGTATCCCGATTCCGTTCTTCACAATACGTATCGCGGTATTTTTTTGTGAATACCGGTTCGGGTTCGATGTGCTATAAATTGTTACAAAAAGAGTTATTTGCCCTTTTCAATGTAAAATATGGCGGCAAGCAACGTGAAGTGTGATCAGAATCCAGAGACATGTCTCTTTCAAAAACGAAACGACGACAACTGTTATATGAAACCCCTTCATGTTAAAGCTGAATCTGAGTATTACAACATAATTGAATTCAACAAGTTGTGTCACAATAAAACTTATCTTGCCGCTTGCGCCGACATAACGCGATCAGGCAATTGGAATATCAACTTGAGAATACATGTTATTTGAGTTTGTGTTTTCATTTAACCTTGACGAAAAGCAAAAAATTATTAAATATTTATATCGTGATATATTGCAATACAAAATATAATATTGCAATATATCGCGATACGATTTTTCCGTCGCGATACCCAGCACTAGCTATTTATATGAAATTTTTACATTTTATTAAGATTTTGATTCTGGGTTCACTGATTTAAAATTGAGTTTAATGTTTAAAGTAGTCCTAATGACATAAAAGCAATGTAATTGTTATATAATAAAATTATTCTGAGTTTTGTTCGTACGCCGACACACCTAATCAGTCTTCATATTAATCGTTCTTATTTTAATAATTTGAAAGATATATATATATGTAAGAAATTACAATTTAAAAGAACACTGAACAATTAATTTCTATGCAAAATTTGATTAGTATTGGTTACTTGTTTAAATCAAAAGCCTGAAAGGCTTCAATGGCGTCGAACAAGAAAAACAATTTCAAAAGATCTGCAGATAGGTCAAGTGAGTGACTCCGGTATCATAATAATAAAATTTTAAAAAAATAGTCTTAACACAAATACAGTATAGGGCCTGATAGCCTTGTGTCCTGGTCCGAATGAGTCAGGGTTTGAATTGACCAGACATCGTCAGAAATATCTATCATCTATATCAATCTAATTTCTTTTCAGTCAATCGAAGACATATGAAGGGTTTCATAAATTATTTTAATTAATTGCCATTGTCAGAGTGTTGTTCTGTTGTATAGTAATTGCATCTTAACTACAACCATGACTTTAATGTTACAAGTACATAGGCGTAGTCACAGGGGGGGCAGCGGGGGCAGTAGCCCCCCCCACTTTCAGATCTGGGGGGGCAAGAGTATGTCTGTGCCCCCCCCCCCCACTTTTTAATGAAAAACAAAATCACAGCTATTTTTCCCCAACATTACCTTTACTATGGAAAAAAATTGGATTTGAAAGTAACTTAAGTAACTTGCCTTTGAAAAAGTTGGCCAATACCCCCCCCCCCCCCCCCCCCCCCCCCCCCCCCAGGAAATAGGATTTTCGAGTTTGGGGAACTTTTTATTTTTTTTTTATTTTTTTTGCTTGTCAAAGAATTTCCGGAGTTGAGCCCCCCCACTTTTAAGTTTGTGACTACGCCTCTGAAGTACGATTGACTTACGACAGGGCGGGGTAAACAAATGTAGGAAATGGATAAATACAGTAATACTGGCATTACTGGTCAATATTGTCGGTTGTTCGGATAAAATTGGATTGTAGATCGTAAAAGTAAAGCTAAGATTAAGAAATTCAATCTTTATAGTCTTATTGTATTCGTGTTTATTTTGTTATTATTTTTCCGTATTTAAGATTGTTTGTATTACATTAATCGGTCCCAAAATGTGATTCATGTCATTCGACGCACCCTCTCTGTAGAAATTCTTCCGCAACAACCATAACGTTTTTCTTGCTTAAAAATTAAACATAATATCGTTGTTTTGTAATAGTATTAATTGAAGATGCAATTGATTTAACTTTATATTCAAGCAATTATTCATTGTGAACGTTTTAAAAGAAATAGGTTTACAACTGTTGCTATTTTCTATTTCAGATGCATCCACTGACACGTGCGGTCGCGTAAACCTGACTGATCGCTAGATGACGATCGGGCAAGCCCGACGCCATAAAAATTATAAACATTGTCTACCACTTTTTGGGACAACCCTCGTATGTGTCCTCAAATAAGAATTAAGTAACCTGGTTGTTTGAATGCCTTTTTAAATCCATCACATTATAAAGTTCCCATTTGCATGTGTCCTCATGTGTTTATTTAAATCCGCTTTTTCATAGAACGTTTTCTTACACAAACCACATATGTAAGGTTTGTCACCACTATGTCTCCTACAATGTCTTTTGAAATATTTTGAACAATTGAATGACTTTCCACACACATCACATTTATAAGGTTTATCACCTGTTTTTATCCTCATGTGAGCATGTAAGATAGTTTTCTGAGTGAATGTCTTTCCACACACATCACATTTATAAGGTTTATCACCTGTATGTATCCTCATGTGCCTCTGTAAGGTACTTGACTGAGTGAATGCTTTCCCACACACATCACATTTATAGGGTTGATCACCTGTATGTGTCCTCATGTGATCCTGTAGGTGATGTGACAGTTTAAATGCATTCCCACACACATCACATTTATAAGGTTTATCACCTGTATGTATCCTCATGTGCCTCTGTAAGGTACTTGACTGAGTGAATGCTTTCCCACAAACATCACATTTATAAGGTTTATCACCTGTATGTGTGCTTACGTGTCTCTTTAAAATCCGTGACTGGCTGAATGCCTTTCCACAAACATCACATTTATAAAGTTTTTCAAATGTATGTGTGCTCATGTGACTCTTTAAAATCAGCAACTGGCTGAATGCCTTTCCACAAACATCACATTTATAAGGTCTATCACCTGTGTGTATTCTCATGTGATACTTTAAGTGATGGGACAGTTTGAATGCCTTCCCACACACATCACAGTTATAAGGTCTATCACCTGTATGTGTTCTCATGTGTCTCTGTATGTCATATGGGTGTTTGAAAGCCTTTCCACACACATCACATTTATAAGATTTTTCATCTGTAGGTATACTCATGTGTCTCCGTAATTCATGTAGATGATTAAATGTTTTCATACAGATGTTATATTCACTGATCCTTTTACTTGCACAAGCACTAATGGATTGTTCGAAATTCACAAATTTTTCATTTACACTATAGTTTAATTTCACAGGATGTCTTTCTGATCTGGATGCAAAATCTGCCATTTCTTTCTGAAAATGTGGCAGACAAATCAATTGTAATGCTATATAAGATATTTATACAGAAGATATCAATAAGCCCAGGGGCCGCATGGGTTACCTGAATAACTATGGTCATGCTTGGTTCTTTTTTTTTTTACCAGATGTTCCCTTTGTTGTGGCCCTACCCTACCCCGGATTTGAACAGATTAGAATCTTTCTCTAAGTGAATGCTATTTCAATGTATGTGTCTAGATATCAAGATATCATGGGGCCACATCGTTTACCTCAGTAACTATGGAATAATACCAAAGAGCAGATTTCAAAGCATTAATTTATTTTCAGACTTTGTACCCCCTCCCCCCTCACCCCAAACCCAGGGAGGGGGGGGGCATAAATAATAAGGATTTTGCTAGCTGCAACTTTCTTCATCATAAATATATATACTTGGATCATTGGCATAAAACCAAGGAGCAAAGGAAAGATTATCAAAGAATTAGTGTATTTTCACTGAATAACCAATAGAAACCTGTCCTAACATCAAAACCCATGACCCTGGGCCATAAAATTCACAATTTTGGAAGAGACACTCTTGCTCATCATAACTGTGTACTTAGTTTATTTAATACCCAGGAGCAGAGAAGAAGATTTTAAAAGAATTAATGCATTTTCACTATATGATCAATAGAGCTTCACCCTAACACCAGAACCCCTGACCCTGGGGCAATAAAATTCAAAATTTTGAAAGAGGCACTCTTGATCAACAAAACTATGTGCTTGGTTTGTATATTTAATACCCAGGAGCAGAGTAGAAGATTTTCAAAGAATTTGTGCATTTTCACTATATAACCAATAGAGCCCTGTCCTAACACCAGAACCCATGACAGTGGGCCATAAAATTCACAATTTTGGAAGAGGCACTCTTGCTTATCATAACTATATACTAAGTTTATTTAATACCCAGGAGCAGAAAAGAAGATTTTAAAAGAATTTATGCATTTTCACTATATGATCAATAGAGCCCCGCCCTAACACCAAAACCCATGAACCTGGGGCCATAAAATTCACAATTTTGAAAGAGGCACTCTTGATCAACATAACCATGTGCTTGGTTAGTATATTTTATACCCAGGAGCAGAGAAGAAGATATAACCAATAGAAACCTGTCCTAACATCAAAACCCATGACCTGGGCCATAAAATTCACAATTTTGGTAGGGACACTCATGCTCATCATAATTGTGTACTTAGTTTTTTTAATACCCAGAAACAGAGAAAAAGATTTTCAAAGAATTAATGCATTTTCACTATATGATCAATAAAGCTCCGCCCTAACATCAGAACCTCGGACCCTGGGGCCATTAAATTCAAATTTTGGAAGAGGCACTCTTGATCAACATAACTATGTGCTTGGTTTGTATATTTAATACCCAGGAGCAGAGTAGAAGATTTTCAAAGAATTTGTGCATTTTCACTATATAACCAATAGAGCCCTGTCCTAACACCAGAACCCATTACCCTGGGCCATAAAATTCATAATTTTGGAAGGGGCACTCTTGCTTATCATAACTATATACTAAGTTTATTTAATACCCAGGAGCAGAAAAGAAGATTTTAAAAGAATTTATGCATTTTCACTATATGATCAATAGAGCCCCACCCTAACACCAAAACCCATGAACATGGGGCCATAAAATTCACAATTTCGAAAGAGGCACTCTTGATCAACATAACCATGTGCTTGGTTAGTATATTTTATACCCAGGAGCAGAGAAGAAGATTTTCAAAGAATTCATGCATTTTCACTATATTATCTATAAGGCCCCACCCTAACACCAGAACCCTTGAACCTGGGGCCACAAAATTCACAATTTTGGAAGAGGCACTCTTGCTCACCATAACTATATTCTTAGTTAGTTTATTTAATACCCAGAAGTAGAGAAGAAGATTTTCAAAGAATAAATGCATTTACACTATATGATCAATATAGCCCCGCCCTAACACCAGAACCCCTGACCCAGGGGTCATGAAATTCACAATTTCGGAAGAGGCACTCTTGTTCATCATAACTATGTACTTAGTTTATTTAATACTCAGAAGTAGAGAAGAAGATTTTCAAAGAATTCATGCATTTTCACTATATAATCAATAGAGCCCCGCCCTAACACCAGAACCCCTAACCCTGGGGTCATAAACTTCACAATTTTGGAAGAGGCACTCTTGCTCAGCATGACTATGTGCTTGGTTAGTTTATTTAATGCCCAGGAGCAGAGAAGATTTTCAAAGAAATCATGCATTTTCACTATATAATCTATATAGCCCCACCCTAGCACTAGAACCCCTGACCCTGGGGCCATGAATTTCACAATTTTGGTAGAGGACTCAATGCTCATTACATTCATGCCAACAGTTTGCCTGCTTGATGTCCAGGAGTAAAGAAGAAGATTTTTAAAGATTGCAATAATTTTAGTGGTTTTGGCCCCACCCCTCAGGCCCCAGAGGGGGGGGGGGACCATTAAATTCACATTTTTTTCCCTTCACCCATAGATGCTGTATACCAAATCTGGTTTAAATTCGTTAAGTGGTTTCAGAGAAGAAGTTGAAAATGTTCAAATGTTAACACATAACGAATGACAACGGACAAAACGGATAGCAATAGGTCACCTGAGTTACTCAGGTAACCTTAAAACGCTGTTGTCAATTATGCCACCCCTACTTCATTTTCAAAAGATTGAACGTTTTTCTTTTTGTATGATGATTATTGCTACAGGACATTGTTACCAAAATCTTGACTTACCTTTACTGTTATTACTACAGGACATTGATACCATAATCTTGACTTACCTTTACTATTATTACTACAGGACATTGTCTCCAAATCTTGACTTACCTTTACTGTTATTACTACAGGACATTGTCACCAAAATTTTGACTTGCCTTTACTGTTATTACTACAGGACATTTTCACCAAAATCTTGACTTACCTTTACTGTTATTACTTCAGGACATTGTCACCAAAATCTTGACTTACCTTTACTGTTATTACTACAGTACATTGTCACCAAAATCTTGACTTACCTTTACTGTTATTACTACAGTACATTGTCACCAAAATCTTGACTTACCTTCACTATTATTACTACAGAACATTGTCACCAAAATGTTTACTTACCTTTACTGTTATTACTAAAGGATATTGTCACCAAAATCTTGACTTACTTCCACTGTTATTACTACAGGACATTGTCACCAAAATTTTGACTTACTTTTACTGTTATTACTATAGGACATTGTTCCCAAAATATTGACTTACCTTTACTGTTAGTACTATAGGACATTGTCACCGAAATCTTGACTTACCTTTACTGTTATTACTACAGGACATTGTCACCAAAATCTTGACTCACCTTTACTGTTATTACTACAGGACATTGTCACCAAAATCTTGACTTACCTTTACTGTTACTTTGTGTTGATGACCTTCTACCTCAGGGTCAGAGATGTCAAAGGTCAACTCCTCTTCTACAATCAAAAAAATTTTGTCAAGATGACAGATGAAGTACAACAGATGAATAAAGAGAGTAATTTAGGCCACTCAGATAAATATATCATATATTAATATTTAAATATTTATGCAGAAAAGAGACATGAGAATTCTCTTTTGGAATTTTCATTCATACAATTGGGAAAAACACTTACTTTTAACCATTTGGAATTGGGCAAATTACAGCCCCTTTCCCTCTCAACCTTTTGACAACCTAAAAACCCCAGAGTTCTTTTTTTTCTTTGGAAATCTTGAATTTCCTTTTCTCAAGGATACTTTTTGCAAACTTGGTACTTTAGAAGAAGATGAAAATATGAAAAGTTTATGACAAAAACAACAACCACTACAGCATCTACAGAGAACAGACAAATTTTGATCAGGAAAACTCTGAACCTGAGCCTTCCTCTGTGTAATGAAACCACGCCCTCTAATGTAGCAACAGTCAACATTGCTTGACGAATGGTGATATCCCAAACAAATGTTGAGTGCACAAAACTTATATGTGCAAGGTTTACTGTTGTATGTATTTGTTTAGAACTTTCAAAATAATACAATAAATATTGCATATTGTTGAGTGTTACATTGAAAATTGTCACCCCATGAACATGATGAAGACCCTTATTGAACACCTCGGTTGACAATGGTATTCTTGGGATGAAAATGTTCAATGTAACCCTCAACTAAATACAATATTTATATATTATTTACAAAGAACTTTTACCAGTAGATTCTTCTTTCTGGTCAGATTCTGGATCTCTGGTGCTGGATATAGATGTCTCCATCTCAAACTCGGACATGGTCTGTTTGTTCAGTTATTGATCTCAAAGTCCTGTAGAAGAATAAAGGAATAATTGACATTCTTTTCAGGGGTAGTCAAATAAATGCAATACAGCAAAACTCGGTTAGTGCGAACACGGATATTGCGAATTTACGGATATAGCGAAGTCATCTTGGATCCCAAACTATATAAATTTAATAGATTTCGGTTATAATGAATTACGGATATAGCGAAGTGATTTCATCGGTCACAGTGACTTCGTTATAACCGAGTTTTGCTGTACGTATATATTATTTACAATTAGAATGTTAGTATTTGGATGTATATATTTACATTTACAATGTCTTTGTCCGTGATAAAATCACCAATTGTAAATGTAATTGATTTTCTCATGAATGTTTTGGCGCGGTTCCAAAACAAATCACGTGCACGGCGTGACAACACCTAGAGAGAAGCAGGCTTGGAGCCCCTGGATTGGCGGAATCAAAGCATGTAAATATAAGGAATATCTGTCTTATTTTTCGAATTCATGAAGATGATCAATGGATTGGCTTGTGTGATAATTTTATGCATAAACGCCTTCTGCGTTTATGAAAATTATCACACAAAACAATCCATTGATCACTTC